TGCTAAATGTAAGACCAAAGGCTTTGCACACAGCAGAGAAACGATTTATTAGATGTTGGGCCTCCTCAAAGGATGTCGCTACAAGAGCGGCAGCATCAGAAAATAACAAATCATGAATAATTTGCGTACCAAGGTGGGTCTTGGCTTTGAAGTGCTGATGATTGACAAGACCACCAGTTGTTCGAAACTGAAACTTGACACCACTCTCTGTGTCTGTAAATGCATATTTCAGCATCACTGAGAAGAAAAGGGCAAAAGACAGGGGCCGTAACACAACCAATATATATATATATATATATATATATATATATATATATATATATATATATACACCTGCACATGTAGACACATATCTAAGTTTACATACCTACACATATGCACAAACAAGCACACATATGATAGGTGTCAACACACACACACACACACACGCACACACATACATATACACACACACAACTATAAGTACAGATATATTCATATATACACATAAACATACACATTCAACCATACACACGCACATTTTATATGTACCCCCATATACATACATACAGAAGTACATGCAAATAGAAATATATACATATACACACACACACACACACACATGGACATATATATCTCTATCTATAAAAAGCAGGATGTGTGTATGTAACGAATGCACGGCCGCAATTTTCACGACGGATTTGCACCAAAATCTACATGCTCATGCTCCAAGTTAGCGGGAAGGCCAAGACCGACCTTGCATTTCCCAACTCCCATCGATAGTGGAAATAATCGATTTTTTTCATGCTTCTACGCCAGTTTTCATGTAGTTTGCAGCCATTTTGTACTGGCCAGTGTGAGAGCCTATAGCTGGCTGCCACGAATAGGCAGGAAGATTCTATTGGCCAGCATGAGAGCCAACAGCTAACTGACATGAATATTAACTAGCATGCAAAAAAAAATCGATAGCTGCATTTGTCACAAGTGGGGAAAATTTAAATCTGCAATTACTCCAATTGGCACATTCGCTTGCTTAAACTCAACATTGATTCTGATTCCGCAGAACTGGGTTGGGTGTGAAAAAGTATTTGTTGTTAACATTCTTTTTTCATTCGGTTTTTCTAGTTACAAGTCCTTTTTTAAAGCTGATCGTTTTGTGTTCATTTTGTTTAGTTCTTTTTGCGTAACAGATTTAATGTTTAGTATAGAGCTTAGAAAAAATTAGCAGTGTGAGATAGGCAAGAAGTAAGGCATGTAGCAACATCAGCACGGCAAAGGTCATCCTTTAAAGGCAAGGAAGGGCAAAAATATTTTAAGTCAAGTGATAGCGATTGCTGTATGAGTCGTACGATTTTTGAATCAAGCATGGGCAACACCGGGCCATACTGCTAGTTTATATATATATATATATATATTTCCCTCCTCTCTTTTTCTCCTCCTTTTTTCATTCTTTCTTTTTATTAAAAAAAACAACCTGCATGCGTACACACACACACACACACACACACACACACACACACCCACATCAACAGGAGGACCATCAGGTAATAAAATTAATAACCTACTAAACTTACAGTGACATATCATTATCGTTGAAAGTATTAATATTAAATTTATATTGGTGTTTACAGTTAACGGTTAGTTCATTTCTTTGATTTAAGTGATGAGTCTTATTTTTAAATCTAATTATTTCAAATTTTTTGTTAAGACATAGATAACAAGGGGCATATAGGGAGTTACATGTTCGGGCTCTCTTGATTAATTTCTATTTAACAGTAGGCGTTTTATTTCTTTCTTTTAGACTCCAAAAATACTTGGATAATAAAGTCTTGTACTTATAATTACTGCTATTAAAAGATTGCATATGTCCCTGCCAACATTCCTTGAATGAATTCATAGTGCTACCAATGTAAAATGTGTGTACACATATGTCTGTATGTACTTACTTTTCTTTCACCTACTGTTATGCTAAATTTTTGTACTCGTGTATATGCACTAGTGCGTATATAGGTATATATGACATATTTTTATATATTTGTGTGTTTGGAGTTTTCGTTTTTATATATTAGATGGTGTTATTTTTATGCATATATATCTATTTTTCTGTCCATGTCTGTTTTAATGTCCTTTCTTTCCCTAATATTTGTTTTTCTGTTCTGCCCATGTCGAATTTTATCTATGTGTATTTGCCTGTATAATATATATATATACACACACACACACACACACACACATGTATATATATATGTATATACACATATATATATATATATATATATATATATATATATATATATATATATATATATATATATATATATATATATATATATATATATATATATATATATATATATATATATATATATATATATATATATATATATATATACATATATATATATATATATATATATATATATATATATATATATATATATATATATATATATATATATATATATATATATATATATATATATATATATAATAAAAGTTATATTTTAACAAGTGGTTAGAATTTGTTTAATAACACTTTCAAACTTGAATATTTCTTGATAGGTGTATTAGCATGTCTTTGTCAATGTATGTGTGTGTATGTACGTGTCTTTGTCTGTGTGTATGTTGCGTATGTTTTTTTTTTGTTTTTTTTTTTTCAAAGGGTCATGGAGATATTTCCTGTCTTGTCGCTTTTTTGTGTGTGTGTATATATCTAATTATGTCTGCGTGTTTATGTATTATAATCTTATTGTGTATGTTTGAATTTTTCAAGATTTCATCTTCTCCTGCCTCTGTTTATGCTTCAAATGTATCTATATTGTCATGAAGTTCAGAGCAACATTTGATCTTAACGTTTATTTCAACTTAATTTCATTAAAAACAAAATAAATAGAATAACATATGTATTTTTTTTCCTTTTTCCTTGGTAATTTTTATAATTTTAAACTTAATATAGATTAAATTTAAATTTTAAACTGGGTAATTTTTAATTTCAAATTTTATCATATAATTTAATATTTATTAATTAGAATAAATTCTATTTTAGTCTAACCCCAACATATACTTGTATTTTGATTGGTCATTGCAGCTTATGTAACAGCGTTTCCCCTTGTGAGGAATGTTTTGATTGATTTGAACCTTTTAAAACCCTTTATTTTACATTCAATCCCATCACTTGATAAGACTCCAGAAGTGTTGAAACAAAATGCCTATTTTTGTAGCAATTTTAGAACATATTTGTTATAATTTTCGAATAAATAATTATACTTGCTCTACTCTGTATTGAGCACTCTTTTAAGAATAGTATTTGTTGGTTATTGGAATTTATTCCCTGTACACCAATCCTATATATATATATATATGTGTGTGTGTGTGTGTGTATATATATATATATATATATATATAATAAAATTTGAAAAATAATTTAAGAACATTGTTGTGTAAAGTTAATATCATAATTAAATTCAATAAATTTAATTTGATATTTTTTGCACACCTAGTTTATTACTATAAACTAGGTGTACAAAATATTAACCATAATCCTGCTGCTAAACTGCACATTTTTTTAAGGGATTTTTTATCTACTTCTAAAATCCATAAAAAGTGCATTTATGCCAAAATAAGTTAGTATAACAATAGTTTTAGTTCTTTTTGTTTCATTAACGTGGATAAGATTAATGCATAAAATATTCCATACACCCACCAAATTATATAGCAAACTATGCAAACCAAAACTAAAAACTTTTGCTCTCATTAGTATGAGATTTGAAACAGGCCTCCAGTTCTTAGCTAGGGTTACACTATGACTTGGCCTTTAGTAAAGGATGCCATGGCTTCAGGGCTAAATTCTTTCTCCTCCCTAACAAACAAATTTTATTGATTTTTTTTTTTTTTTTTTTTTTTTTTTTTTAGGTGACTTTCAATATGCCTATATGTATGTACTCTTTCCAATACTGTTTATTCAGTTATCATGTGCATATAAATCTACATACATGTGTAGACTTTTGACTGTATCTACACATATCTATATGCATTTTCATTGTGAAAGTTTTTCTGTATGCATTTCATAAATTGTAATTTTTTATTTTTTTATTTTTTTTTTATTTAGGCCCTTCTGATATGTAAACATTCATTTACACACACTCTTAATATTTATTTCCTATGAATCCAAAAGTCACTGTATCTCTGTTAAGCCAAATGATTGTAAAATAATGGATGGACGTATTTTTTTCTTTCCATCGATAAAAAGGACTTTATTTATTTTTCATATCTCAAGATTATATTTCCATTGTAATTTGTCTCTTGTTTATTGTTGCATCACATTTACCAGTAACAGTTCTTTGGGTACTTGTTGGTTGAGTTTAGTTGTAGAATATTAATTTAGTGGCTGAGGAATGCTTATGTCTTTTATAGTAAAAATTCATTAGTGCTTTTTTTCTTCACAGCATTGTAACAAAAGAATGGTTTCATTTGTAAGCACAGCTGAAAATGTTGCTTGGTGTTCGATAACCCATGTAAATATTAATATAGCAGTTTAAACTTCAGAGATCATAAAATATTGCAATATTTGCTCCAATGCAAATTGCTGTACAGTTTCTCTTAAAGTATTTGAATCAGAAAAAGAATATATAATTATAAAGTAATTTTTCCTCAGGAAATAGTAATCTTTAAAGATTTTGTGTACATTATATAGAAAATGTATTTACTATATTATTACTGATTCATTATTTTATTTTTTGTTTTCATCAGACAATATGAACCGACGTAATGAAAGTAAATCCCGCCGTAGTCGTGCATCACCCCCACTCCGAAATAAATCCAGGCGAAGATTCGGTGCCACAGATGAAAGCCAAGACTCGACAGAGTTGAAATCTGCAGATGATGACAATTCAGATGTGCCAAATAAGAAAATGTACTCCAAATACCACAATGAGGCAATGGTGTCTTCATCTTCTACTGCAAATCAAGCAAGTGTAACTGTGAGCTCTACAGCAGTCGATACTATTTCCAGTAGACGTACTATGACCAGCTGTAATGCAAAGCTGGTTCGATCCCCAAGGAAGCCCAGCCCCATGTGCCCTTTAGAAACGGAAGAGATGGTTTATAATGACAATTCTCTTTCAGGTCCTACTCCTAATGGAGGACAGAAGACTATATTGCCGGTGGAAAACAAGAACAAAGTGATTGCCAAGCCCCCTAAAAAGAGAAAAGCTGCAGAACCTGAAGCCTGTAGCCCACCTCCAGCTCCTGTGATGATGAGGCCACCCCCAATTGATCTGACTGAATGGAACAACCAGAGAGTTCTAGCCTGGAAAGATAATGTCTTTAAACGAGGGGTCATCAAAAATATTGCTGAGAGGCAGGTAAGGGTGTTAATTGATGGTGAAACAGAGTTGAGTACATACAGTGTGTTTGACGAGGACAGCAACAAAGTGATCAGTGACCACTGCCCAATGCAGAGCAGTGTCCAAATTGGGACAGTTGTCTGCGTACGAATCAGCTCTGAGGAGAATGTTTTTTATGAGGGAAAGGTTATTGAACGCAAGTCCAACCCTGTCTCATTCCATGTTTCCTTGCAGAATCACTATCACATAAACAGTTACAGTCAGGAGGTGTGGGTACCTCGAGCCAATATCCGGTTACTTCAGCCACCGTGGTGGGAAGACATGAAGGATCATGAGGAACAAAATAACTTCTACTCTGTACCCAATGCAACTAGTGTCCCTGTTGCAGCTCCAGTGGTTGTATCCACGGCTCAAGTGTTACCTCCAGCACCGGCTGTAGCAGCTGTGGCTGCACCTCCCCTCACACAGGCAATACCTGCTCTACCAAGTGTACGTTCTGGAAATTTACTGTTATCTTTTGAGAAACAGGCCAGCTTTGAGCGTCCAGATACTTCTGAAGATGAACTAAAAAATGAGAATGTTCACTTTGATTCTAGTGGGCTTAGTACTCCAAGGTCTGGGAGTGCAACACCTGGTGCCAATTCTCAAAATGGCAAAGACCGTGCCAAGCAATTGTGTAAGAAACGAGACAATGTGAGAAGCAGAGCTCAGTCTGGAGATAGCAGTAGAGCCAGCACGCCTAGATCTCCAAATCCTGTCAGTAAATATAAAAAAGGGGATGTAGTTTCTAATGAAAAAAGTGGTGTACGCAAAAAATTTAATGGTAAGCAGTGGCGGCGCCTCTGCTCAAAAGATGGTTGCACCAAAGAATCTCAAAGACGAGGTTATTGTTCACGGCACCTCTCTCTCAAAGGAAAAAGCATGCGTTCTTCAGTTTCTCTCCCTGGTCATCGGAAAGGGGAACTCAAAGATGGTCAAATTGAGTGGGAGGAGACATCACGGGATAGTGAGTATGACCACCAAGATAGGATTACAGGCAAACTAGATGAACGAGAAGCTGCTAATCTCCTTGTATCCCTGGGTAAGTAAGGATCACACATTTTATTTATTTTCATCTTTATGAAATCAGTGTTGAAACTGATGTCATTGGCTGAAAAAAAAAGTCTTTTCCTAATTATATTTTCTCTTTTCCTATATTAAGGAGAAATATATTGGAAATGATTTTACAGTAGAAACACACCTGATTAAGTATGAACACTAAAAATAAAACATACTTTGAAGTTTTCAAACTCTAATAAAGTTTTAAAATGTTTTATTTTTGTAAAAAAAAAAGCAATCTTAAGTTTGTAGTATATCCTTCAAATTTTTGCTTGTGATTTCTTTATTTCAAAACCTGCCTCTGAGTTAATAATAATTATATAGATAGAATTACAAAGTATGTGTTCACCACACACAAGATGATCACTTAACAAAATAAAGTAACACTTATCAAAAATAGTTATAAACTTTCTCTTAAGTAAAATCAATTCCTAACATTCATAAAAGAAATGGTAAAATTTTATCTTATCCAAAAGAACATGGCTTCTTCTTAAATCACTAAGGATCAACAGAAGAAAAATTCTCTGGAAAAAAAAAAACTTTTGTCATTTGAAGAAACTTTTAAATTTAACCAAAAATATATTTTTAAATAAACCAAAAAAATATATTTTGGATAAAATTTAAGCATTTAAAACTATTCCAGATGAATTCTTTTAATTTTCAAGAGAATTTATGAGTTTGGTTTAAAAGCAAACATCTTGAAAGTTACAAGCAAATGTTCTTGCACTTGCATTTTTTCTTGTGGTTTAATATTTTGATTATTAACCTATTAAGGAATGTATTTCAGTTATTATAATTTTTTTTTTCACAAACAAAATAATTATAGGTTATGTACTATTAGTATTGCTTGGTGTAAAGTTTGTTTTTGTTGCTAGACAGTATTGGTAGCACTTGATTTTATTGAGGCAACTGTCATATCAGCATGATTTAATTTTGGCAAAATTGGCATATTTTTGTGCAGAAGGTACTAGGAATGATTAAATGTATCAAATAGTTTGTAAAGTTCTGTGCTGTTGGTTTCTTACTGAATGATATCCTATGATTTGGTAGACCATTCAAAATTGTTAACAATTAGATGAGACCATACTTAAGAATAAGACATTGTGTATACAATATGCTCAAATCAAGTATTGGTCATATTTAATCGATTTGATGAGACTTTTGTACAAATTAAGCAACAACAACCAAATTTCCATGTGTGATCATTACTTAATGAAAATATTCTCTTAAAACAAATTGTGATTAGCAATGAAAACTCAGTACTTACATTCAATAAAAACACAAGTGGAATGAATCACCACTAACTAAAAGCCAGTGTTCATGTAAAGTTGATTGTGTGTGTATATATATATTATATAATAGGATTAGAAAAGAGCTCCTTTTCCTTGCTGAAAAACAACTAATTGATTTTTAAAAAATTACTACCCCTAATTAAACCAACTGAAAGCAGAAATTGATGAGGGCATCTAAGAAAAAGCACTACTTGAATAGACTGGTCCACTCATTAAAAAAAAAAAAAAAAAAAAGAAAAAGAAAATGCTTTGTGGGGTGGGGGGTCATTTTTGTAGATTAGTATTCTTTAGACATTCCTTTAAACATGTTTACGACACGAGTCAGAATTGAAAAAATGCCAAGTTTGAAAATATAGTAACATCATTGATACCTGTATAATTTTCTTTTCTTTCTTTTTTTTTTTCTTTTTTCTTCAGAAATACATGCACAAACATTTAGGATAATTAAATGAAGAATGAAGTTACATGCTTTTATTAGTTTATGTAGATTTTATTCTTTTATTAAAAATGTATATAGGCTTTCCTCGATTAATGCACATTTGATTAATGTGCTAAAATTTTTATATACCAAAATTTGATTAGTGCATACATAATACTCGATTAGTGCATTAAAACATTCTTCAGTTTAGGCATAGTAATTGAAAAAAAAAAAATTTTTTTTACTGATGTATACATTAGCCACACTAATTGAGGGATTCCTGTATATCAATTTCTTCTTTATTTAAAAGAAATCTTTTTGTATCTCCCCAGTCTGATTTTGTACATAAAACAACAATTTCAATAACTCTGTAAAAGTCAGGGATTGATTTTATACTGTATTGATATAAAAAAAAAAAAAAATGGACTCCTTCTGGGAGTTTTTTATATATATATATATATATATATATATATATATATATATATATATTTTATTTTATTTTGACACGTGTCACAACAAAGAAAGGTCTAATACTAATCTACAAAAGTTATTTCTCTTCAAAATGTTCCCTATTTTTTATTAGTCAACCACTCTATTTAAGTAGTGCCCATGAAAGATTTTCTTTTTCTGATTTACCAGATTTACACTTCTATTGTCATCTTTGAAGGCTACTCTTAATGAAAAAATCTAGAACACTGCAGAAGCATCCTGAGCAGTCCTTTGTTGAGAAAGATAAAAAAGTTCTGGGAAGATTAAATTATTAAGATTATACAAGTCTAAAATTTATTTCATGTTGCTAATATTTACTCAAGAATAGTAGTAGTTGTTGTTGTTGTTGGCTTTGTTTGGCATGTTTAATACTTTCTCTTTGTTAGTTCCAGTTGGAAATCTTGCAGTCGGCAATTATCACTATAATAGAAGTGATCATCAATGATTACTCTTACAAAACAGCATTTTTATTTTAGCTATGGGTTTATCACAGTAAGGAAGCATCAAACAAAATTCTGTTCTCAGTATCATTTATTGAGGATGTGCAAAAAGTGGTATTAGCAAGCCAAGCTCAAATTCCAGCAAGAATTATGTAGTAAATAACCTATGAAAAACAAATCAAGAACGCTATCAAAATGTTTTGCAGTAATCAAAAAGGGTAATAATTGGCTGGTGCAAGGTCAGGGGAATATGGTGGGTGGAAAAGAATAGATATTTTTCTATGTTATTCTTACCGTATGCAGCCTTTCATTGTCATAGAAGAGAACATTCATCCTATTGATGAGCACAGGATGTTTTCGACCAAACTTTTCTGTGCATTTAGTATTTCATTGTCTTTTAAGAACTGCTATCACATGCACAATATAATGTTTGTTCCATGGAGCTCATTTTTGGGGTTGGTTGTAGACATTTATTCTTGCCAGTCTGCTGGATTGAGCATTGTCATATGTTAAATATTTATTCTTAACTGCCATATATGGTTAGTAGTTAAGGTGATATATTCATCATTACACTTAGTTCCCAAAACGAAAATTACTGATGACTTAACCTGATAAATCAGGTGAGAAAATGCATTCTTGTGATAGTCCTGCTTCTATGTTGGTTTACTTAACTCCTGCTTCTATGTTGGTTTACTTAACTCCTGCTTCTATGTTGGTTTACTTAACTCCTGCTTCTATGTTGGTTTACTTAACTCCTGCTTCTATGTTGGTTTACTTAACTCCTGCTTCTATGTTGGTTTACTTAACTCCTGCTTCTATGTTGGTTTACTTAACTCCTGCTTCTATGTTGGTTTACTTAACTCCTGCTTCTATGTTGGTTTACTTAACTCCTGCTTCTATGTTGGTTTACTTAACTCCTGCTTCTATGTTGGTTTACTTAACTCCTGCTTCTATGTTGGTTTACTTAACTCCTGCTTCTATGTTGGTTTACTTAACTCCTGCTTCTATGTTGGTTTACTTAACTCCTGCTTCTATGTTGGTTTACTTAACTCCTGCTTCTATGTTGGTTTACTTAACTCCTGCTTCTATGTTGGTTTACTTAACTCCTGCTTCTATGTTGGTTTACTTAACTCCTGCTTCTATGTTGGTTTACTTAACTCCTGCTTCTATGTTGGTTTACTTAACTCCTGCTTCTATGTTGGTTTACTTAACTCCTGCTTCTATGTTGGTTTACTTAACTCCTGCTTCTATGTTGGTTTACTTAACTCCTGCTTCTATGTTGGTTTACTTAACTCCTGCTTCTATGAACATACAGGCTGTTTGTTCCTAGTATGGCTTGCTGATTATTCATGTATTGTTTCCATGAAGATGTAGCTTTCTTAACATTTCAAAAAGTTTGTTGTACTATATCAAATGCTATCTGTGTAGGCTATAAAACACAGGTATAAGTCTTTCTGCATTTATTGCTTCTTCTGACAGCATCCTGACCATGAAAGTTGCATTTCTTGTTTCAGCATCTTGTATAAAAGCCACATTGTTCTTTATGTGCAGCCTAATTTAAACTTCATTCATTAGAATCCTAAATATTAATTTTATAATGTAACTCATCAAGCAGATTGAAGTTTATATTCATTTGCATTTGATTTCTTTGCCAATATTTCAACATTATTTTGTTTATTGCTTTAGTAACCGTCTTAATCCAAAAATCTAAGACTGTGAATAACAATCTCATCTAGTTTTTCTGCTTTTTCTCATCTTGGTCATTGTTGTTCTTCATTCATATTTTAGTGCCTGCTTTTATGCATTATAGGTTTTTTGATGATTACCAGAAGACCTAAGTAGATCCATTTTCATAGTGCTCCCTAAGAATTAAAGTACAAACAAATGCAAAATCCATTGAACTTAATGAGCCACATAATAGAGCCTATTCAAATTCTGATGAATAGAAAGTGCAGTAGAATGGTTTTGTTAGACACTGGAACAAGGAATGATATTTATACTTAAAATGATATCAAAAAGTACAATACAAATATAAAAGGATGTATACCTATGTTTTATAGATCATGCAAAATCGTTTGATAAAGTACTTTGTAAAGAATTGTTGGAACTACTAGGTAAGCTTGATTTATTTGGAAAGGATATTAGAATAACCCAGAACTTATATTACCAGAAAGTCACCTGCATACAAATACTTATACAAGGATGTTTCTTCTCACCACTTATTCAGTGTTTACAGTGAAGCAATCCTGAGAAAATCAGAATTCCTATTAGAATTCATTATTGGCAGTAACAGTCTTAACAACATTAGATATGCAGATGACAGTGTTGATAGCAGATGTAGAAAGGAAACTACAGGAACTTCTGCAAAAGTTAGTAATGGATAGAGAGAAGAAAGGACTAAACATCAATTGTAAGATGACAGGATTTATAGTTGTTAGCAAAAAGGAATAGCTCAACATGCAAGCTACAAATTGGAGAGACCAAACTTAAGCAAGTACAAAAATTTAAATATCTAAGAAGTTTTAACAGAAGATGGAAAATGCAACACCAAAAATCTGAATGCATGTTGGGATAGCATAAGATGCCTTTCAAAAGTTAAGCAAAGTATTAAGAAACAGGAAAATTTCATTAGAAACAAAGAAGAGTATTTTAATGTTATGTAATATCGGTCCTTCTATATGACAGTGAATGCTAGACTCATTATAGATGAAGAGACTTTAGACAATTTTTCAATCTGTACACCTTTTCCATTTCACCATTCCTCTTTTGCCAATTTGCATTTATGTTTTATTTAGTCTTATATATGCTGTGCCATTTATTTTTATCTGCAGTTTTTTCATTAAGTCAAGAATTTCACTTGTCATCTACTTCTGTTACTTATATCTTTCTTTTCATCAAGATGACTCCTTTTTGTTGTTATCACTAAAGTATTTCCCTTAAGGTGATCCACTTTGAATCCCTGACATGTTCTAAAGCTTAATAGTTACTCTTAGATTTAAAACAATTACCACATTCAAGATACATAAATACATTAGTATTTTTGAAGAATTTAATGATATTACCACTCTGTCTGAGAATTTGCTATTTTTGTACATCTATAATAAAATATTTTGTGGCTACTTTAGTGAAACACTACCCATGTTTTTAATTAGTTGTATTCTCCTGTCCAATATGTCTGTCATGTGGATGAAGCATGCAGCTGTTGTACTTGGGGCAACCCTTTAAGCAAATAAGCTTGTACTTGTGGATGGAGGAGTATCAGGTAAGGTACCAAGACCCATGGGCAGTGTCAGTTTGTTTCTGAAATTCCAGTAAGTACCCCAGTACTAAAATGATGGTACCAAATGATGTTTCAATGTACCAATTTTCTGGAACTTAAGATTGATAAACCATAAAATAACATATCCTGGAACCCACTTAAATTTTATTATTTTAATCAAATTCTAGTCATGCAAATACAAGTAAGCATATGGTTTTGGTCAGAACAGTTCTTGAAACCACTTAAAATATATAATTGTGCCTCCTATAGTATTTGATATAGTGTCACCTTTTCTTTCACCCAGGTTTGCCTACATCCTTCCACAAGGAAATCCTTGCCTTTTTTTTTATTTGATTGATTATACTGAATTTATTTACTTTATTTTGATTGACAAACAACAAAATTAAAAAAGTGGTAAAATTTCTTCTTTGAGTAAACATTTACCAAAATACTTTTAAAAATTTAAGACATCACCACAGTACTTCATAATGTCCTGAATTTTAGTACATAACCTTCTCCCACATCTAATATCTCTAAACTGTGCAATACCATGTTTGCTTTCTCACAACTTTTCTTATAGTGTTTTTTATGGAGACAGTTGACTATTGAGTTCATGTGCTTTTTAATAGGTTTTAGTTTTATTCCTGCTGTGTTGCTAACTACCCCCTTATCTGTAATCGGGTAGGATGGAAGAGACTCTTTTGTTACTATCTGACCATCAAAAGCTTGGTTGTTTTTCTTTTTTTATCAGTTCATAAGGCTAATTATTAACAAAAGAAAACTGACTATATATTATAGGTTGATTTTGCAAATGAAGATTTAGGAGTGTTTTTCATGACTGTTGCAAGCCCTCCCACTTTGGTTGCAGAAGATCCATGGAATATCTTCAAGTCAGTGCTAAAGTTTTAAAGTGGAGTGTCATGTACCTATTGCTATCCATACCCTTTAAACCGAATGTTTATATATCATGGTCCAGCAAGATGTGATGGTGGTCCAAAGGTTGTATATTTTCTGTTGGAGTTTCCTCTTTGGCAGATGGCCGAGTTGACTATACTAATCTGACAAGGTGACTGACTTAAGTAGAATAAGACTGTTCCTTGTCTCACCAGAAGAATTTGCAGGGTTTTTAATTACTTTTAAGCTAAATTCCTGCAGCTCTTAGCATGTCTACTTGCCCCCTTCATTCCTCTTTCCATTTTCTCCCACACACATGAGAATTAGATAATTTTATGAAAGTTTATAAAAGAAAACAGTTTGTGAATTCATCACATATGTAGACAATAAAGATAATGATGAACAATCAGTGGCAGATAAATTGCTATAGACATTGTTACATAGGAGAAACCTTAAGAGAAACTGAGTTGCTCTTAATAGTGATCCAAACCCCCAGCATAAGAACAAATTAAAATAGATAAAACAGAATCGCAACATATAGACTGTGACAATTGAAGATGACAATCACCTAATTAACAAATGTAGCAAGTTGGTCCAGAAAGAATACAAGAATCGGCATGAATGGGTGGCGAAGGTGGGAACTATGCAAGCAAATAAATTTTTGCAATACAAATCAATAGGTATATGGGCATAAAATCCTCTGGGACTTTGAAATTCAAATGGATCATCCAATCTAGTCCAGAAAATTGGATTTGGTATGAGTAAAACAAAACATAAAGATAAATTTTGTTGTTCTGATAGATCTAAAAGAAAGTGAAAAGATAGATAAGTATCTTGACTTGCTGTAGAACTGAGGAAGTTGTAAAACATGGAGGTGACAATAGGATCAGTGATTATTGGACACTGGGAACAATTACAAGAAGCTTAAATGGGGCTGAAAATACTATTATTAATAGCAATAAAAATATTACTGCTGTACCATATTTCCGTGCAAGAGTCACTACTTAATGAAACTAATCTCTTGAAACCTTATGATCAACAATAAAAAGATTGGCAAATGAAATGAAGCCACCACTAACAAAAAGCCAGTCTTCTTCCTAAGAAGTTGATTGGAAAGGATTTCTTTATCACAAGCTCCTTGTGTAGAACCAAACAATTGATTTCAACAAGCATTGGTTCCAAAGAAAACTGTCTAATACTTGTTGAGAAAAAGGGCATAATATTCCAACAGGATACTGCTAGACTACATGTTTCTTTGGAGACTTGATAAAAATTGTTAGAACTTGGATAAACAGTTTTGACATTTTTGCATTCCATTGAGATTGAATTTTTATTTGCATTCTCTTAATGAAAAAGATTTTTTTTTTCTTGGAAGACTGCAAAAGGCAAATGAAATTATCAAGTTGCCTTCAAAATGACAGAACACAGTGAAACGAAACAGTAAAAATGTTCAATAAAGTTAATGTAAAAAATAAAATATTTTATTACTTTTCAAAACCTAGTGTAACATGATTGCTCTTTCTATTCTGGTCATACTGACCAAATGTAACACTACATTTAAGTTTTTGGGATGACATTAGGATTGATATCATTCTGGTTACTGGCCAGAGATGTAGTGCCATGGTTGGGAGAGATCTCTTAAATTGAAATGTCACAAACCTGAGCATGTCACATGAAACCCAAGTTAGCAAATTCTCAAGATTGACCATAGCCAAGGAATAATAACGAAGATCAGAATGCCTTCAACAAAATATTAATATGTAGTTTATTCTAGTTGTTAAGTACGTAGGTGTTTCAAAATAGCATCTTCATTTTTCCATTTGTAATGCTTGACAGCAACATGTAGAGTTCTGGATCTTAACTTTGTTCACAACTATGATGATAATAGAACAACAGTAGTCTGTCAGCTAGTTTACCTTTTATGTGGGAGAAAATTTGATTAACTACAATCTGGCCTCCTGTATCTTACTTTCTCTACCACCTTGCCACTGGTATCGATTTTGTGTCAGCCCCTTTACCAGCCTCCAACATTGTTTATATAGTAACTCAGTTTGCTGACTTGTCACTAATTATGTACTGTACAATTTGGCCATTAATTTCAGAATCACATGGTCTTTTACCTGCTTGCTTGACTTTTTTGAATGCCCTTTTCTCCAAAATTATTCTCTGCTTAAGAAATCACGCTAATCCGTTAGTTTTTTTTTTTTTTTTTAATATATATTTTTTATTTCTTTTTCGTTTCTTCTTTTTCTTTTCTTTTTCGTTTCTTTTTCGTCTTTTTCGTTTTTTCTTTTCTTCTTTTTCATTTCTTTTTCTTTTATTTCTTTTTTCTTTCTCTCTCTCTCTCTCTCTTTTCTCTCTCTTTTCTCTCTCTCTCTCTTTTCTCTCTCTCTCTTTTTTTCTCTCTCTCTTTTTTTCTCTCTCTCTTTTTTTCTCTCTCTCTTTTTTTCTCTCTTTCTCTTTTTCTCTCTCTTTCTCTTTTTCTCTCTCTTTCTCTTTTTCTCTCTCTTTCTCTTTTTCTCTCTTTTTCTCTTTTTCTCTCTCTTTCTCTTTTTCTCTCTTTCTCTTTTTCTCTCTCTTTCTCTTTTTCTCTCTCTTTCTCTTTTTCTCTCTCTTTCTCTTTTTCTCTCTCTTTCTCTTTTTCTCTCTTTTTCTTTCTTTCTCTCTTTCTTTCTCTCTTTCTTTCTCTCACTCTCTCTCTCTTTTTTTTTTTTTTCCAAAGAATCATTCAAATAACTGTAATATAAAATGTCTTTTGCATTTACCATTATAAAATTATTAACAGTATGATGTAGAAATATAAAAGGATTTTGGTTTGTGTACATTTTTGTACTCATGATAACTTAACCTATTTTGAAACTACCTCTAACTGCATAACTTAATTAAATGTCAAATATAAATGACATTTGTCTTCTAAAGCTGAGAAACTCTGAGCTTTACCATGAAAATTTTTAGTTATTTGAATCAAATTAAGACATGAATATTTTAATAGGTTTTGTATCTTTTCATTTGAATTTTTTTTCTTTAATTGCTTAAATTGAATCGATATTAAGCTCTCTGAACAATGCCACATAATATTGCTAATAATGAAATTTATTTTTTAAATATACTTTCAAGTTTATATAATTTTTAGAGACAAACATTGATACTTTAAATAAATTATCAAAAGTAGATTATATTTATCAATGATTATAATGACATTGGATCTGTTGTTTTTGGTTTCTTTACTGTTACACAGTTCGAATCCTCTTAATAGCACTAGTTGTATTTTATATAACTGTTTGTTTCATTTTTCAAACAAGACATTTCCATGCAAGCTGCCTGAAGTCTTAGGACATGATAAAATTAGAAAATGTTGTTCAAGACATGGAAGTTACTGAAAAGGTATATTTCAAATGCTATGGCCAAGATAATACAGTCCCAATGAAAAAAAGATGTACAAAACCAAGATCAGAATTGATATATTATTATGATTTGACCTAATAGACTCTATTGCTAAAAATGGCTCTAGATATACTCTCTTTTATAAACAATTATCCTAGTCTAATAATGCCTTTTTTATTAAATCAAAGTGATATTCTGATAGCCACTGAACAATATGTAGCAGTTTCAACTGTATGGATCTGTAAAACCATTTAAGTGACCTTAGTACAGTTCAATTTACAAGCAGAAAATTACAATTGTTCCTTATCAAAAACCTTAATAAATTGTTCCCTATCCACCACATCAAAATAAATAATTATGAATAAGATCAAAATTACTAAAGAGATTGTGAATATACACAGTTATAGCTTCAAAATATGTACATAATGTTATAATCTAAGAACAAGAAAAAACAATTATAGAATTGTTGACTGGTATTTAACTAAACACCAGTAAATATGCAAGCATTTTGCATATGTTATGCTTATATACCAAACAAAAGAAAGCTTGATGCTAGGCGTGAGAAGGATATTTTTGTAGCCTATGACAATGATAGTCTAGCATACATTGTATATTTTCCTAAATGAGATCAAATCAGAAAGGTGAGGAGTGTGAAATTCAATGATAACTTTGTAAATGGAAATAGTGAACTTATTGCCTGGCAATAACAATGAAATAATTACAAAAATCCCCAAGTGTAGCGAAGTTCCTCTATCTGAATCAGTCTAGTGAAAAGCAAGAAAGTAATTTTCAACAAAACAGAACTCGCTCATGTTTTAGATCCCCAAAATGTAAGTAGGACAGTGAAAGCAGTTGATGGGATTCCAGATGAGAGCATACTGAGGAAGAGGATAACGACTGATATATACCAAAATATCTTGATTAAATAGTTGGGAATAGTGTAGAAGAAAGCGTGAAGTACACCATCTATTTCTACTCAGTGTCACAAGTACCCAAGATATATTAACAGGCTATAACTTCTATTAATTTTAGCTATTGGTAAGAAGTGATTGAAGAACAGATGAATTCTCTAAAAGAGAATGATGCTTATGATATAGTTTGCTACCAGAATGTAGGACACCATTGGCTTGGCATGGATGCTAAATTTATACAATTAAATCCAGCAAAAAGAGTGAAGAATCATACAAAATACATTTTTTTGGCAAAGGGATATTTACAAGTTTCTGGTATTGAATATCAAGAAACCTTTTTCCCCACATTGTGCATTATATCAGTTCAAATGTTAATGCAGTTAGCTGTCCAGTTTGATCTTATTGTTCTTAAATTCTTCAAATGATTCTGAGCTGTTTGTAGAGAAACCAGAACATTTTATTATTCTGCCTATCTGTCTTATTGACTACACCTAAAATCATAACCATTGTGAATTCCATGATCCTTTCATTGGTTGCATAGTGTGTGCTTTGACTGTGTTATGCAGGACTTTGAATTCAGAGATGTTCTTCTAGACTGGTTGACAACCATGCCTAGAGAGTCCAGTCTAAAACCCAATGGTTGAAACTGAAACAATGTATTACATTCATATTTAATGAAACAAGATTTCATTTAATCACTGACAAATCCTTGCATATGTATTAAATGCTCTGGAGATAAAATTATAATTGCCATTTGGATTGATGACATATTTCAACCAGACTATATACTCATTGATGTAAAGAAACAATTCCATCAAAATTAAAGATTTAGGAAAAATTGCATGGTTTCTCAACATAGTTCATTTATGAAGGTGACTCGATTACAATAAGCCAGTCCAAATAAATTGAAAATGAATAAAATAATTTGGAATGCATGATTGTAAATATAGATCAATTCACACCTCTCTTTCCTTACAGACCATAAACCTGAAGATTATACAATAATGACTGAAAATTGATAACACAAAGAAATAATTCATGACTTTATCAAAAGTCTTTTATTAAATCTTAAGTACAATATTTAGTGAATATCACTGTTTATTAAATCAATATAAATTTAATAAAGATTATAGTCATTCCAAGTCAAATCAACAAGGGTCTGACTATCACAGGCACAGGTTTTTTTTGGTTTTTTTAAATTTGGTATACTTATAGTGCTTCATGATAGAAATTGAATGGTACTTATTTTACATGTCTAGGTCAAAGGGTTCCGGAGATATGATCCTTTGACCCTTGCCAAAAAGGTTAATTTTGGTAAATAGTCAGTTTAAATATCAATATCTCAGTTGTTTTTACACCCACAAAGCTAAATTATATACCATTTTAAAGTACTTGGATGGATCTAAAAGGTGATTTTTTTTTTTTTTTTTTTTTTTTTTTTAAGGTCAAATAAGATAATTTGATCTTTGACTTCTCAAAAAATGTATCTTTAATTTTTGACAACAAAATCTGCTTTATGGCAAGATATGTACAAAATTTTGTGGTGGTTTTTTGAGTTACAAGGGTTTTACCAAGTTGGGCCAAATTCAAAATGGCAGATTTTGGTATTTGCTAACATTTTCATATCTCCCAATATGGTCAAGTTGTATATCTTTGGAAAGCTCTTTGAATGCTGGTTAATATTTACATAAGAACTATCAGCAGAATTTGTGTTATTTGTGGTTAAATGTTGACCAATTTGGTGGAAAATAAACAACCTTATTTTGGTTTTGTTTACATTTTTATTATATAACAGATAGATTTTTAGATGAAAAAGCAACATAATGGAAATAATTATTTAAAAAAGTCTCATGAATTAATGTTAAGATAACATAAAATAATATAAAAATATGCAACAAATGATGGTTAACAAATTTTTGTTGACATGGTACATGCACAAAACAATCAAATTTTCAGTATTTTTATTTTTATTTCAGTGTTTAAAAAATTAAATTTTGATCTGGAAAAGTGGTACATTAAAATGAATAGTTAAGAAAAGATTCCTAACATTTACAAAGAGATTAACAAACAAACTTACTTTTCTTTTTGGAATACATGTTTAAATAGAAAATAAAAAACTTGAATATGCAAACCACTTAATTTTTCACTCAAATTTTTTGTGATGACCAACCTTGATTGAATCTTTATTTAATTTCAAGAAATTCTCTTTCCTAAAATATTTGAAGCTTTTTCCATCTTTTTGTGATGTCAATGAATACCCGTCACTTTTGTAATGCTCATTGTAGTAGAGACTTTGTAATCACAGATACAACTATAGTAACGCTGTTGAACAATGCTGGTGTCAGACACCTTCAAATAACACTTGCACTAACAGTACTTGCTCGATAATACTCACTTGAAATGTAACCACTGAATAGTGATCCAAATAGTAATAGAAGATAGAATAGAAATGGTGATTAATTAGACACCGTGCTAATTCCCTATTTATGTATTTCCTTTCTGGTCACGTGATCTTCTTAATCCAATAATGGAATCAACTGTGTTTGCTCTCTGTTCAAACTACAGAGTTGGCAGTGGCACTTTATTCCTATATAACACATCTCAATTTTTGAATGTTTATAAGTTCTTCAACTAAACTAAGAATATCAGAATAATTTAAGATTAATATAACTTAGATACCTCCACGAGATCGCTAAAAAAAGAGCATAGCATGATGAAAAAGACGCCAAACTTGACGAAAACAAAATTTTATCGTCTAAATGTTTGTTATTATTAAAGGAAAGGTCAAAGTATTTTTGGGGTATTTTTTTCCATTTTTAATCATTCCTAGCACGTCCAAAATTTTCGTTAAAAATCTAGTTTTTTTTTTTGAGTCAGCAAAATTGACCATTTTTTTCCATTTTAAAAAAACTGAAAATCTGACTTTGAAATTTTTTAAATATCAATTATCATTTTTTCAAAACTGATTTTAATAAAATCAGAAATTATAATGTTTATTTAAAATATTTTGAACCAAACTTAACTTAGCTTTTGTGCCAAAAGATGTAATTTGAAAATAAAACAAAGCAGGTCATAAACTTTCGCGTCTCTTGACATGTGATGAATGATATATTTACGAATTCCATGAGGCTAATTTGTTCTACGGAAGGAGAAAAGTGAAATAATTTACATTTACGTGAACAAATTATTTACCCCGTATTTTTTTAACTAAAACTTTCAGCGGTCTAATTTTTTTTTTTTTTTTTTTGTACTTAGCTTTCACCTTTACGTTTTATGATGCTTTATGGGAAATATATTGTAAAGAAATTAAAATAAAACTGTTAAGAGTGACATTAAATTTCATATTTCTTAAGAAAGGTATCTAATTAATTTATAGGTACCTTTCTTATGAAATTTTATCAGAATTGTACATAAAATACTATAATTTTATGTACATTTATTACATTCTACTGTTATTTGTATTTGCATTCATTTTATT